TAATATCGCGCGCAGCCGTGGCTTCTTCCACGAGACTGGCTCAGGTCCTCGCCGCCACTAATCTGGCGGAGAGCGACGCCCCGTGCACAGCCCCCCGGCTTTCACCACGGCTATTATTATTAATATTTACGATCAATGGAGGGTTGCGCACCCCGTTTTGCCCACGACCTTGCGAGCGCACTCCGTTCTCGTTGCGCCTCCGACCCCTCTGCGGGGTCGCTTGCGTGGCACTCGGTCCAGGTACTCGTCCGGCGCCACCACGGTGTCCTTCTCCAGTCCTTGGCTGGCGTCCTCCGGTGGATGTAGATCCCTGGATCCTCTCAGCATCGTTGTTGTTGTTGTTGCTGCTGCTTCCGTTGTTGTTGGTAGAGGGCGGGAGGGCTACGCGCGCCCTTTCCGCTCCTCCTCTCCTCTCGCCATTCGCGTTCGCGTCTGATGCCCCGCACAGGCATCGGCAAATGCAGCACCGGGCGCTCCCAGGGCGTGCGGACGGCTGTCGCGTGTTTGCCCTAATGGCACATGTGCCCGCATAACTTAAGACTAAACGCGCGTTACGGCCGGCGCTCCCCGCATCGGAGCCTGCGGGGGGCCGTATACGCCGTTGCGGCGGCAGGTGCTCCTGCCGCTGTTGCGCTAGATGTTGCTGCTGCTGTTGTTGTTGTTGTTGGCGACGCTGGTCTGTTCTCCGGCGCCTTCCCTGGGCTACGGACCAGTTGTCGTCCTTTCCACCGGGGCTGGGGTTGGCGGGCTGCTCTCCGTTGTTGGTGAAGGACGCAGCACCGGGCTTGTCGTCGCCACCGGATCCTTGAAGATGGTGGTGAGAGGTGTGCCCGATGATCGCACCAGAGGTGGTGACCGGGCGCTCGGTGTTGCTGTTGGTAATGCTGCGACGGTTGTCGGTGACGATGTACCTCCACAGACGTTGGGTGGAGGCGTGCAGGGCATCGTCACCGGCACAAGCCCGTGCAGGTGGCCGTTGTGAGCACAACAGCCACCGGAGAGCGCTGTGGAGTAGCGATAATGGAGTGTGTCACTCCCTTCACGGCATCTGCAAAGGTTGTCGTCGGCGAAGCCAGCCGTCGAAGAAATGGCCTCGGAGATGCCGCTGGAGGGGTGCCCGTCGACGTTGTTGTTGTCGTCGCCGCTGTTGGGGAAGTCGGCGACGTCCCAGCCGCCGGTGGAGTGCGCGCGCCTCGCCTGGGTGGTGGTGTCTTCCTGTGGTTTGCTTTTCCGGGCGAGTGTTGTTTTTGCCTCCGGAGCTGGCTGGAATTTATGCTCGGCGAAGTACTCAGTCCCGGAGTGGAAGACTTACCTTCGCACCGAGGGCTGGTGCGTTTCCGATTATCTGCCGGTGACACCCTGGCAGCAGTTGGCGGTGTTGCGCGCCCAGTGCGCA